TTATGAAATGTTTTAATTAGACTTTCATTTTACTACAACAAATATCGTCTAATTTATATTGGATTAACCCACCTATGACTGAAAATCCTTACTTAGAATAATAGTCCAATTAAAATATTTCATGAAATCGTCCAGACTTTCATTCCATCTCTTGCATGCAGTTCAAATAAGAAGGGATACCCCATTCTTGGAAGGAAAATTTTCAAGTAAGACGAAAAATTTTAAAATTGGAATGACATTTTTTAAGATGGAATGAAAATTTGGAATTTAGAATGTAGTTTTACTCTAGAATGATTATTTAATTCTGGAAAAATTTTATGTTGCTCATTATTTTCATTCTTCTTCCTTTTTTTCCTTCTTCGTCTTCGATTTTTCCGAGTCTTTCTGCCTTTTCCCCTTGTATTCAAGAATGGATTCAGTCTCCTAATCAGTGCTGCTTCCATCCCTATCACCTCTGATCTCACTCCCATCCAAATGGGTATCAGAACATATTTCTCCCAACCAAATTTGTGCAGCCAACTGTCTAGTTTCCGCTGTGCTCCTCTATTTGGATTCTTGGCCAAGTTTATGTGTTCAGTGCATCTCTTGTCGGACTGTCTTCCTGTCCTTCCCACGTACATATGTCTACACCAAGGTGAAACTCCCTGTACTAACTAGTTGCTCAATTTTCGTTGATAGTCTGTGTATCTGCTCCAACTTCTGTGTCGTGGTGAAGTCGCCTGATGCTGAGGTGTCTTCTACCTTCCCGACAGATCTTCGGCGCTCGAAGATGTGTCGGATGAGTTATACTCATCACTCCCGCTTGATCTTGTACTAAGGCTCTCGTAATCATCCTCACTTGTGTTGCCGCCAGTTGTATTGGACACTCTGATGTTATCTGGATCTGGCATGATCTGTGTTTCAAGATCAGAATCCTGGTTGACGTCCCGCTCTTTGTAGGCGATCAATCCAGGACCTTGCCTCAATGCAGAGATCGCTTGCGGCTTGTCCTTGTACCTGATGTCATGCATCTTTCATAAGAACTTCAGGTCCGTGTAGTGAAGACGAAGGAGCTGCATGTCCGTCATCGGTTCGACCCCGAAATTAATGCTCCGTTTTGCCTTCGACTTCGTTGTTGACACGTTGCGATTAATCTTCGTTTGTCCTCTCTTGGGGTGTGGAGGGATTACGCGTCCCAATCTGCTTTTGTTCGGTGCGCTTCTACTTGGCATGCTTCGGCTCGGAATGTTGTGGCTACCATGTACTGAAGTTGGTAGTCCAACCATTGTCCCCACATATCCGTTCGGATGAACCGAAGACGACACGATCGGAGTGCAGGTACGAGTCGGTTCATTGATCTTCTGCAACGCACCCTTCACAACCGCCAGATCATACTTTAGTAGCTTCAGGTTGTTGACCTCCTTCTGCACTTTCGATACCATCCTTTCTACTTTATCTTCCGCCTCTGCATTGTTCTGACCGGTTGCGTTTGGACCAGTTTGATTCTGTCCCCCTTGGTTCATCTCTGTCGGCTTCATTGCTTCATCAATGACGGACTTGAGCGCGTCCGGAGTTAGCTAAGGCTTCTTTGCAGTGTCTTCCTTGTTCGGAGGAGCTGTCAGTGACTGCTTTTCACTTGTCTTTCGTGTGAGTTGCTCCAGTGTCTTGAGAACTTTATCCATCTCCCGACGGAGCTTAAAGATTTCTTCCTTTAGATCCGCCGTAAACCACGCTCGATTTCCCAGTGGGGGGAAATCATTTCGTCTTTGCTCTCACAATGGTCTCGAGAACCACCTTGGAGATTCTGACTCCTCCCTTCTTTTCCGTGACGATGGTGATCTTGACTTATGTCTTCTATCTCTCGGAGTTTTTGATCTTCCCCTTCTTGAGCGCTTCCTCCCTTGAGATCCGGAAGATGATGATGAGTGTCTGCGCCGCCTCCTGTCTGACGATGATCGCGAACGCGATATCTTCCTTGAAGCTTGGAAACGTCAGGTAGGTAGTCTTTGTACTTGAAATCGATAAAAAACCCCACAACGTCGTTGATCGTCTTCAGTACACACCAGATAAGCAAAATAGAATCTCCAAAAATCGCTGAGTAATCTCCACGCTATAGTAATCTCCAACAAATCGCCACTATGATATCATGAAAGAAAAGGGTTATGAATGATGAGAGAGAGATGAAGTTAGTGAATTTAAAATGGAAGAGTGACAAGTCTATACAATGCCAATCATCGAGGGTACCGCCCGCAAGTTCTAAGCACCGTGCATAGAGATAAACATATGCAAATGTAGACAGAACGTTTGAGGTTTTACTTTCACAGCATACACATGCAAATGTAGACAGAACGTGCGAGGTTTTACTTTCACAGCATACACGTAATGTCCATGGCATGCGACACCGGTCACGATTACCCTTCTACCTCACTGCTCAGGTAATCATTTCAGGCACTATCCTCAGTATTTATACCCTTCGTTCCCAGTCCTTCTCCGCCACTTTCCCTATCCTTGCAGTGTACTCGTCATCTATCCTCAGGATCTCCCGCAGTCACTCTCTGTGTTGTCTTTGTCGTCGTCGATTTCCAACATGCCTTCAATCTGGAGCGACTTTCATCATATCTAATGATTCTGTGCGTGCTACTCACGTACTCTCCTCTCTGCCAGAGTTCCGTCTTACTGTGGTACTTGCCTATAACTCCGCTGTTTTTTTATACTGACTCGAATCTGGCCTTCTTTATTGTTTTGTTCTTGTTTACTTTCATGGCCGTGGATTTTCCTTCATTTCCAGGTGAGTACTTTTTCTTTATTGGTTCGTTTCCACTGCTTTAGGTCTTTCATCTTCTATCTGTTTCGTATGTTTGGAAATGTGAGCAACACTGCTACGTCGTTTCTGCAGAAATTCCGTGATATTCCGGGATACTTAGTCGTGTATGTTTCTTTTTCGTCCCTGAAAATTTATTTTCATTCCGTGCAAAATTATATTTTTGATTTTTGATTTTTGATTTTTGATTTTCGATTTGTGATTTTAACTTTATATTCTGAGTCGGCCCTAGGTTACCAATGGTTCGGAGGCCGGTCGTCTCCCCCGGATGTCTCCCCCATACGTCCGGTACCCCCGTCGTCCGGGGGAAAAAGTTTTTTTTTTCCGTAAAAAGAAAATAAAATTATTTCGGTTTTTGATTTTTAACTCATGATTGACTGCGAATTTGAACATGACTCCAAGACAAAAGTTGTTTGTATTGTTATGTTGCATAACATATATTTTTTTTCAGATTTTTCTGAGAACTGTTTTTTTTTTTTTTTT